TCCCTCTCCCACCAGACCAGCAAATGGCAGCAGCCTGACTAAGTGTGTCTCTCTGCTGACTCAGTCTTTCCCTTGGATGCCTCTTCCAAGGTAGGTCTGAACTGAACAAGTAGAGAGTTAACAAAACAAGCTCCAATCTCCAACCCTGCCTTTACCAATAATAAAGGTGAAATTTTATTTTTTCTAGTGGCTCTTTTGTCTTTTCATTTGGCTCAGAATGTGAGTAAGGGAAAAGGCACTATTTAAAAGGCTTCTCAAATAACCCAGCATCCTTTTCTTCATGTTCCATCAACCAAAGACAGGCCCTCCTGACAATGAGGTTGTTGTTACTCCTGCCCTTCTCATGACCTCCATCCCCTCTTTCACCTCCCCAAAGCATTCATTTGTACTTTTGCATTGCCAAGGTATTGAAAACATTTGCATTCTGTTTTAAAAATTAAATATTCCTGGGCTACATAGTTCTAATACATAATTATGAACTATTAAAATGTGGCAGGATTTTCAGGTGCCTGTCTAGGCCTCAAGCTGCTTCTAGTTATACAAGGCCAGCCCCGATTGAATTCTGGGTGAGTCTGTGTCCCAGAACATTAAGGAAGATGAGGTACTATCTCAGGACAGACTGATGAGGTGCTCAATGCTGAGAGGGCAAGCCAATCCAGCCCAGACTAAAGGCAGGTAGAGCCAGCTCATTTTTTCCTAGGATTTGGCACAGTTAAAAATGACTCAGGACTATTAAAAGTATTCATAAATATCTTACCCACAGTGTATGTGATGCCCCTAGAATAATTTCATGCCAGAATTGATTCCTTAAAGAAAACTACTTGTCTATTTGCCTAACAGGAGGGTCAGATTTGATGTTTCAAATATTTTTCTTAAGATTTTGATTTCTATCGTACCAGTGTCTCAAAGGTATTAAGTGATTATTTTTCTGATTATATTGGAGTAAAAGAAAAGCATATAATGACCAAAGACAGATATTTCTAGGGTCTCTTATTTATTTAACATACACACACACACACACACACACACACACATATAAGATATATATAAATATACAAATTTACATATATATAAAAGTACTATAATACTTTTATAGTATTAATATTTAAAATGATACTTGGCCTACTGGGTTAAAAGTTCTTTTGTTCCAAACACAGGGCATCAGTTTTAGAAAACAGCAAACCAGTTTCCTAGACTCATACTTAACATCACTTTCAGAGTAAGGCCCAGGATGCCTAACAGCATACAACAAAACAGAAGCACTCCTATAAAGAGTTAGCAAACAAATATTAAAAATCTTGTTTTAATACTAAGGTTTCTAACTTTGTACTGAAAGTCAAGACACAGCTTTTTAAAACTGTAATCAATGCAGCAGGCTTCAAAATGAACAAGATGTATAACTCACCTCTTTAACAATATTGTGGGCTTCCTCCGCATTGAAGCCAACCTAAAGGGGAAAACAAAAGATAAAGCTGCTTTCAACACAGACTTCCTTTTATTTGTAACCATGATGATACAGAGAATCCCCTAGGTTGGCATAGACAAGTGTTAGTGACAGGAGACCATAGTGATAAGGGGCATCCGGTCTACTAAGGCTGCTAGAATCCTACCTCGAACTTTTAAAATTACAGAATACTTTCCCCACCTACCTCCCTGGAGATTTCGATTCATTAGGTCTGAGGCAGAGCCTGGGTAACCAAGTATTTTTTAAAAAGTGTTTTACTGGTGATTCTTTTTTTTTTTAATTATTATTTATGCCTACAGCACCTGGTCTTCCTAGGTGGTCTCCCATCCAAGTACTAACCAGGCCCGACCCTGCTTAGCTTCTGAGATCAGATATCAGGCTTGTTCAGGGTGGCATGGCCATAGACCATGGACTGTGGCTCCACTGGCACACAAACCCAGGACCTTCTGCGTGTAAAGCAGACGTGCTAATCACTACACTATGGAACCACGTTCTACTGGTGATTCTGATGAACACCTTAGATTGAGAACCATTGCGTTGTAAAGCGCAGGGAACAGCAGAAGGTGGGTATATTGATGTGTTATCAGTATATGGGAGATGGCTGCAGCAAAGTGAGACTTGATCATCCTAAATTAATGTCACTTTAATACTACATAATAGGTCTGGCAACTCAGCCTTTTCTTTGGAGTGACTTGATGGACCCCTGGGTTAAAAGCAACTATTAATGACATCCAAATGTCTGTCCTAGAGTAGAGAACTAGGCTATTTCAACTGAGATTGAAATCGATACCATCATATTTCAGGTAATACATCTGTTTCCATGAAGACACTTTTAGGTGCTTTATGACATCAGCAGTTTCGTAAATCCCACTGTACATCTTAAAATTAAATCAAAAAACAAGTAAATTCTGAGAATAAGTATTATCTTGAATATAGATGTAGTATACATGTAAAACATTTTAAACTCAATTACACCACAGAATTACCCAACAAAGGAATAAAAATACCCTAATTAGGAATATGAAGACAGGTGTCATGTTTTGACCCTATTAAAATGATCCTCTTACCTTAAAATAAGGTCCTCATCTATACAAATTAAAGGCTGTCCATTTCACTCTGATTTGGAAGATCACCAAATAATTAGGATGTACTGGGTGGCCATGGTAACACATGTAACTTTATTTCTTTTTAAATACACATATTTAGGAAGTACTACCCTACATAGCCCTCTTAGGAATCAGGAGATAGCACCTGCCCTGCTGGAGGATATGCCTGAGGGTGAAATTGCTTGTGGATCAATTTCTAAAGTAAGAATACTTTACCACTAACTTGTAAGAATGTATGCTACCTTCATCACAGAACTAATTAATTTTAATGTGGTTTTACCTTCTGCAGAAGCCCAGATCCTAAACATGGCTGGACCAGAAGCTCCTTCCTTCCAAGGATCTAATAGTATATCATTTTATGCTATACCTCCACCATGTGCCCCTCCCTTTTTTATTTTCACCACACTATTCACCTGTGGCTAACACTGGACAGAAAATGTCTTTGTCTATTCTGCCCTTGCAGGCCTGCCACAGGATATGCTGGGATCCAACAGGCCTCATCCTCCTACTGATTCATGTGAAGCCAGAGTTGTAGTTGAGCGGTCAGAGGCCTGGGTTCAAATGGATGATCTGTCATTCCTGGCAGTTTGAACTTTGGGAAAGTCACTTAGCCACCATGAAAGTCAGAGTCCCCATAAGTAACAGGAAGATACCAACTGACATCATGGGGTTCTGGTGAAGATATGGGAAGCCTGAGTCAGTAAGCAAGGGCTCGTAATCCATAAAGCACCTCGTTCAGCCTACCCAGGCGCGAGTGCCAGGGAGCTGGAGTGGCTCCGCCACCAGGGCCTTGCTTTCAGGGCGGCGGGACTTGCTGGGGACCCCTAGGGATGTAGGAAGCAGCCAGCCGGGAAAACCGGTTTCCAAGGCCTGGCCGGCAGACGGGCGGCGCCCTCCACCCCATCCCCACCCCACACACCGCGAGTCAGGCCTTCAAATCATCGGCCCCGACCGCACTGCCAGCCTCAAGAGCTCATGGCCACCCCTGCCACACTCTCAGCCCACCCTCCAGGATTCTGGATGGGGGGATGGAGACTAGCGGAGGAGATCCTGGGCCCCGAGAAAAGGACCCAAGTTCAGAGGACGCCGCCCCCCAACTCTCGGGGGCTGCCAGGCGCTGGGAGACCAGCAGGCCAAGACCCCCCGCCGAAGCGGGCGGGGGCGGGGGTCGTTTGCAGGCAGCCGAGGGGCGGTACCTCGTCGCAGTGGCGATGATACTCCTCCATGGTGGCACCGACTCTCCCGGTGGGGCGGAGCAACGGGCGGGTCCAGATCCGCGGCCGCGCACTGGTCTCCAGGGTGAACCCGCCTGGGATTATGACCCTGGGCGGTCCTCACGTAGGACGCGCCTTTGTGTCGCAGCGACGCTGCCTTCTTGACAGCACCGGCAGAATTCCAGGCGATGGGGTGGGGTTGGGGGACGTGGTAGGGGGGTCGCGGGTGGCCTCTCCTCGATGCCTCCGACCGTTCTGGAAACAAGGGATGGCTGTTAATGAGCTAGGAATTGTGCCAGTGTGGATCAGATAGGGTGACCTGGTGTTAGTCTAAACTTCACATTATTGATTGAGTGCCCACTGTTGTGGTTATTTGCACATATTTGTTGACTATCATATAGCAAATAAGTGTAGTTAATGCAGTGGTGAACAAGCCGCTTTGGTTTGTCCGCTTTTTAGCTATTTTACTTGGAAAAATTAACCTCCCACAGCCTCAGTTTTTTCATATGAAAACTTAAAATTATACCTTTTCACGGTTGGTTGTAAGGATTAAATGAGATGCTGTATACATAACTCCTAAAGCAGATGCTCCTATACACCTCTTCGATGACTATGTAAAAAGAAATATTTGATTTATAGGAGAGAAGTTAAAAATACCCTAAATTATAAGTTCTAGCCAAACGATGGTTACACTTATTTAAAAATTACTAAATTCCAGATGATTCCAAGGATTTCCTCATTTAAACCCACAACTACCCAGCATATTTGGTTCTGTTACCATAAGTTAATTTGCTTAAGGTTACATATGTAAGTAGAAGAATTATTTAAACTCAGGTAGTCTAAGAGCATCACCCAAGTTCTTAACTACTGTATTAGTTTCATATTGCTGCTGTAACAAATTACCATAAAATTAGTGGCTTAAGGCAGCAGAAACTTATTATTTCCCAGTTCTAGAGGTCAGAAGTCTAAAATGGATCTACAGGACTGCGTTCCTTCTGGAGGCTCTAGGGGAGAGTCCATTTCCTTGCCTTTTTCAGCTTCTAGAAGCTGCCTATATTCCCTGGCAATATTTATTCTCATGCTCACATGTGGCCTTGACTTGGGTTGATCAGTTTTTCTTAGGAAGGCAAATCTTTCCCTCAAATGGCCAGGAATCTTCTAGGGTTCCATTGGCCATGGTGATTTCTTCCTTGGCAAAATGTATAGAAAAACATAGGTTTGGCATTTTCATCTTCTATGGTGAAAAGTGAGTTCTGCTAGAAAGGAAAAAAGGAAGTGAAATATTTGTAGGACAGTCCTTTCCCACTTTTTTGATGCCATGGTCCACATATAAAAGATGATATAATTTACATAGTATATTGGAGTAAACTAAGGGGGCTTCAGTTTCATCTTTGGTTAAAAATATTTTCTTTACATTATATAATTAAAAGAAAAAACAAAGTAGAAAAGATGTTAAAAATTGAATTTGTAAAAACTTCCAAATAAAATCTTCCAAATGGTTTAATGAGGCTCTCAATCTTGCTTTGGTGAACATTACATTTTATATTCGGATTTATGCTTAAAAACTTCCCGTTTGAGAGTTTTTAATAATTATGTGTCCTCGAAATCTTAATAGAATCTATTGTTGAGAAGTGTTCTTCATAGAAGTAACTGATAAAACATTTAGCCCCATTTTACAAACCATTCGAATTATATTTAAAGGCTTCTGTAATGATAGTCTAAGTAATTAGGACCAACCCTTTCACTGACAACTAGGAAGGCAGTACAAAATATAATAGGCTTTTGCTCAAAGGAATGGAGCTTTAACAATATGGGTGGAAATTGCGGACCTAAGAGCTAGGAGAGGAATGAAACCTAGAAGAATGAGCTGAGCATTTGGGAAAACTTTTCACCTGGTTGTGAAAAAATTCAAAGCCTTTTGCTCATGCACCAAGGGATAAAATATTCAGTTTCCATGGCTTGCCAAGGAAGTCTCCAGTAAGAATCATACTTCATGTTCATGTTGAGATTCCAAGGATCACACCCTCCAAGGTAAGAGTGTAAAATAACAAAGCTTGATTTTTCCAGGACCGAAGCTCAGTTTTAAGCCATTTCAATCCTTGAAATTGAATTAAGGTGATCTGGCATTGCTAATGCTTCTAACCACCTTCCAGAAACAAATGTAAATTCTTTCTGGAGGAAGAAAACATCATCCTAGGCCTCAAATTAGATATATAATTGTTCACATACATCATCAGGTGCACAATAAAATATAACTAGGCACATAAAAAGACAAAACAACATTATCATAATCTACAGACAATAGGAACAGCCCAATCAGGGGTCTAGATGATGGACTATATGAGAAACAGACTTAAAAATAACTATGCTTAGTGTGTTCAAGGAGACAAGACTGAGAACTGTAAGCTATAAAAAATATCCAAATGGAATTTCTAGAAGTGAGAAATACCATAACCAAAATTAAAAACTTAAAGGATGGATTCTGAGGTAGTTTAAACAAGGCTGAAGATTTAATAAGTAAAAATTTTAAATTAGTCTTTAAGAAAATATTAATAATGGGAAATAAATGAATAAAAATATGTGAGAAAGCATAGGAACACAAGGAATACTGTGAGAATGTCTTACATACATAATTGGAGTTCCAAAAAGAGATCAGAGAAAATAGACCTAAGCAATATTCGATGAAATAATAGCTGAAGATCTTCCATAAGTGATGAAAGAACTTTATTAGTCACAGTTACTACAAGAAGCAGATGGAACACTAAAAATATAATAATTCATTAAGGATTGATTTACAATGATATATATTAGGGAAATGGATATGGGGAATCCACAAGGAATAGTTCAGAAACATGATACAGTGTGCTTCTTTTGCTCTTCAACGTTCATCCTCTTGACCAGCTACAGAGGCAGGAATATTACAGCTATTTTATGTTACTTGATCCTGTCCTGCTTTTAACTTCACCATCTTATATAAGGGAAACTGATCATGACTAATGGTTGTGGCTTCAGGTAGTTATATGACCAACTTGTTCTTACATTAGAATAATACAGTAGCTGATGGGTCACCTCTAATTGTCAGTGAGCATGTTTTAAACCACACACCTATTACATTTATATGGGCCCTGTGGTTGGCAATGTAATGTCACCAAAGTGATGGATCAGTGTCATGTTGTACAATTTGGAGAGATGAGGAATTTCTTCAAATCCACCACGGAAGCCTTCTAATTTTTTAATGCATGTTCTTAATTTTATATTCAGAGCTCTTAATATATATATATATTTTTTTCCATGCTTTATTATAAGATGCCAGGTGACTATACAATCTTCTGTTGCCTTTGAGACTGTGCTACAGTCACTTGATCTCCAATGTCTTCCCCTCCACCTGCATTCCATCCTCTGGTGATATGAGTTATCAGGTCACTTCATGCCATTAACTACTCATGCCCAATTGCTTCTCAGCAAGAAGATTTTTTCATGTGCTCCTTGAGTATAGAAACAATCACGTCCCAGTGTTACATTTGAGGATCTACTTCCTCAGGATTTACTTCCTAATATTCTATATTAGTCAGGGTTCTTCAAATAAACAAAACAATAATAAAACAGAACCAAAGAGAGAGGAGAGAGAGAGAAATTTATCTTAAGGAATTGGCTCACACGTTTGTGGAAGCTCAGTGAGTCCAAAATCTGATGAGGAAGATCAGGAGGTTGAAGACTCAGGAAAGAGATGCAATTCAAGTCCAAAGGTAGTCTGCTATAGAACCAGGAGGAGCCCATGTTGCTGATGAAGTCAGCAGGCCATCTGCAGAATTCCTTTTGCTTGAGGGAGGTCAGCCTTGTGTTCTAATCAGGCTTTCAACTGATTAGATTACGTCCATTCACATTATGGAGGACAACCTGCTTTACTCAAAGTCCACTGATTTAAATGTACACCACATCCAAAAATACCCTCAGAGAAGCATTCAAAATAATGCTTTACCAAATATCTGGGCACCATGACCTAGCCAAGTTGATACAAAATTAACCATCATAGGCTACTTCTGATACTAGTTACTGTATCAGTCAGATTGCCAAGATAATCAGATGGCACACTCAAATTAGCATAAATTGAAGGGGGCCCACTTACAAAGGGACTAATTATAAAGTTGTGGGCAGGTGAATGACAAGTGACATTACAAGAACCTGGGAGCTGTCACCACTTCTAGGTACAGAAGTATGGGGAGGGTTACAGCACTCCTGGCTGGAAACCCGCCCTTCTTTTTGGAGTGTATTATCTTATCTCTTCACCTCCTGAATTCCACAGGGCTACAGCCTTCCTTAGTGTGGCCATCTCCTTTTAAAATATACTTTCGATAAATCCTAATTTTTCTCAAAAAAAAAAAAAAGAAGTTTGAGGGGAAAGAGAGGCTTAAACAGTCATGTGGAGAAGGCCACTTTGAGAGAAACACTGACCTTTTGTGAAGGGATACATTAAACACAAGGTGCCTTCCACAATGGGAACCAGGGGAATATTTACCCTGACCTCTTCTGCCTCCCTCTGATCTACTGAAGCTCCTTGTTGGAAACCAGAGGGCATGGGAGCTATTGTAATCCAATCCTTGGGTCAGTTTCCCACAGCAGAGAGTGAGGTGGAGCATGCATGTAGACAGGCAGAGATCTCAAGCCACAGATCCAAGAATCCCTGAGGTTCCCCAAGCAGAAAGAATAAAATAAAATAAAAACAAAAATAAAAATATTTTGGCACATCATAGTAAAATGGCTGAAAACCAAAGGAAAGAAAAAAATTATAAAGTAGCATCTCCCTCCCCTAAAAAACGAATTACCTTCAAAAGTCAAACACGGAGACTGACATGTACCTCCACACAGACACAGTGGAAATCCCAAACAATGTATTTTTTGACACTTTGAAAACATGGGGAAGTAAAATTCTGTGATCTTAGAATGTGTACTCAGCAAACATAACCTTCAAAAATGAAAATTAAATAATAAAAATGTAAAGGAAATAACCGAGAAAATTAGTCACCACTTTAAGAAATACAAAATCTATTCTTTTGGCAAAAGGCAAATAATCCTAGATAGAAATTTGGGCAATATAGAAGGAAATAAAGA